AAATATATATATATATATATATATATATATATGTAAATTGCAGCTGAGATTAGGTGAAAGAGGTTTGGAATGGTCAGGGCAACTAAGCAGCCACAGCCAACATCTTTTACAGATATTTAGAGAAATCCTATGATTTCAAAAAAAAAGGAAGAGTAAGCCACTATGAATATAAGGAAACGCTAAAAAGCTATAATAATATCTTTTTTAATACCAACTCCCTTACCAGATATGGCAGAAGGAAGCTCCTCTTCACTCTTCGCAACAGCATTTCCACGCCCATCATAAGCTAACCTCTTGCTCTTTATCATAAGAGGATAGCCAAATAGGTCACCTGATCTCTTGGCTCCTTCAAGATCATCAATCTGTTTTATCCATACATAGAAACCAATAAATCCAAATAATTTCAAACAAGTTTGGACTTTCAAAACAATAATGTAAACTAAATAGCTAGCCCTTAATATCCTTAAAAAGAGTAGACTACCTCCATAAACTCAGGAAGTGGAATGGCATGCTGAGAAAAATGAACTTTCTGGAGAAATTTATCCTGTAAGATAGAAAGAATGCTTCCAGCTTGATAAATTCATCATGTAAGGTACAAATATGTGCGATATAGAACAAACAATAAAAATAACTTAACATCCATTCAAGTGTCAAAAGAAGATGAAAACGATGCAATTTATTATAGACATTTGTAAAGCTTCATGCGAAAACAATTCCAAGGAATCAAGCCTATTCAGGATATTACTTGGATAATTCGAATGGTAGAAGCTCTAGGTTCGCAATCCACTCCTTGTTGCTCAAGCCTCTCTAGAGTGGCAACATCCACATGTTCAATTTCAACCGTCAAAACTCCACATCTAACTACCAAGAAACAGATTACGAATGTAAATAATTCATTTTCAACAAACAAAGACAACAAAAGTTCAATATCAAATTTGGACCTTTTCGCAAATTCTTGAACAGTAGCGCTGTCATCAAAGCTCCCAACCATATGATCATAAGCGAGAGCACTGGCCGGGCAATTCTCTGAAGGGTCCAAAACCATGACTTTAATGGCCATTTTTGAAGCTGCTTGGCATAGCATACGACCCAATTGGCCTCCTCCTAACACACCAACAATCATTTCGGATAGTCCATGAACTGGGGAACCATTATCATTCCTACATAAAAGAAAAAAAAAAACAATAGTAGCAAGCTCTTGGTCAAAGAAGTCAAATTTAGTTCTTTATAAGTTAAAAAATAAGAACCATTTGAATATAAATAATTTACATAATTTTACAAAACCAAAAAGATCCAAAGTTTATTTCTTTTGTTTCATTCGAAACAAAAAGGAAAATACACCAACTTGAAACTTCACTGAAAATGATTCATATTTGGTACACGAATATCAATTAAACTTTCTGTCAACCTAAGTTTCTTCTATTTTACAGTGAAACAAAGAAAGATAAGAAAAAGGGTGAGATATTGAATCATAAATTGCGAAAAAGAAAAAGACCTGAGAGAGGAGGTGGTCTCGTGAGAGTCAGGTGAGGCGCGGCAAGCGAGGACGGGATTGAGGAGCTTGAAAGAAGAAGTAGAAGAAGAGTGACAGAGCTGAAGCTTGCGGCGGATATGGTGGTCATCGTCGGCGGCCATGGAGAAAAAGCGGAGTGAGAGAGGTATAGGTGGCGGTGAAAGAAAATGAGATGGTCTGAAAGCAAAGAATGATGATGATTCAGAGGAGCTCGAAAACACTGCGTTTAAGTTCTGTTGGAGCATCTCTTTATTTTTTTTTCTGTCACTTTCTCTGGAAAATTGAAGAGAGAGAAAGAAAGAAGTGAGTTTTGGCTCCAAAGAACAACGGCGCTCCACTCCTTCGCAGTTCTCTCCCCACCCTGACGTTCCTTTTGCCTTCTAATTTGATTTTTCAATTTTCTTTTTTAATTTTAAATACTAATAATATTTTTAAAAAACCTTTTTAAGCTTTTCAAAAAGTTTTTTTTAAAATTATTCTCTAAATATCTTGAAGAGTTTCAATTTCAACCTAATAGTATCTTTAAAAGGTTTTATTTTTAAATTTATATTTGATGGAATATTATTCGTCAATTAAATATTATTATCTTCATAATAAATAAACTTTAATATTAAAAAATTTTCAAAAATAAATTTTGATAATTTTAAATCAAATTTTTATTTTTACACATATGTAAAGTCTCATTTTATGATTAATAATATTATCAATATTATATATTAAAAATATATCATATATAAATATTTTATTTTTAATCATATTTTTATTAAATTTTTATTTCATTTATTTTTAAAAAACATTTTCAACTTTTTTCATCGATTGGAAATACATTAACGAAAAAAATTTAATCTTCGCAAAATATCTTACATCCGCATGTAATATATTTCTCATCGATCTACTCTTCTCTTTGAGATGAATTCAATCTTATTAACCTTGAATTTTATTGAAAAAATATTACCAATTTCTTCTTACAACATCGATCTCACAAAATAATAAAATAATAAATTAATTAGTTTTATTTTATAATAATTTATAATTTTTTAAATATATACTATCAGTGTATAAGATAATAATCCAAAAAAAAAAGAAAAAATACCAAGAAAACATTCACATTGAGATGCAAAATGGGGACCAAATTCTGTATATTCAAGCAATCAATCAATAGCAAACTTGGGAAGCAGACAGAATTCACTAGCAGGAATTGCTACCTGTTCTAATGTACATACAACATTTAGCTTTACACTCAACAGCACACCTTGCACAAATGCAATCACTCAACCACTACTTGTACCTTCAAACTGAAAAAATTCAAGAGAGGAAAAAGGAAAAATGGGGATAAAACTCTCACCAACTCAATGTTTTTGATGGTATGCAAAAGCTTGTAGCTACCTATAGAACCCCTGGCAAAAAAATGTGGGGGGAAAATAAAGGAAAGAACACTCTAAAAATCATGTCCTATATTAGGTTCTGCCTAAGGAGAAAACAAACTCTGCAATACTGTACAATTAATTGCCAGTCTTCATCACCAGGTTATTAGGGGTTTGTACATTCAAGCTTCTTCTTGGAGCCTCAGCGCGTCATCTCTTGCAGGCATCTGTTAGATTAACAATACAAGTGAGCAAGAGCTGCTGATTTGAGCTTGCTGGTAAGCATGTTATAATCACATCTTTCAGGCACTGCATTTTCACCCCTAAAGCAAACATTTTGGAAGGAAAATAAGAGTACTTCCTCATTTACACAAGTTTATGAACTAAGACAATTCTTTACTTATATCTTTTATAAATTGCTACTAAGATCAACCTAGCTACTTCCAGAGTCCAGACAGTCATGACATGAACATATCACAATAGATTATTTGCAAATATTTCTGCTTTCAAATGTATCTCTCTATCAGCAAAAATTCGAAATTAGGGAAATGAAAAACATACTCCAAAAATGAAAATTGAAAGTACTCACGCTAGAGTGTTTGCACATAATGCCTCAAGCAATGAATTCTTCATGTTACCCTCATTCATCTCCTGACAATGGATTCTTCATGGTGTCCTTGTTTGTGTCTCTGAGTGACGGATCTGTTTCTTCAACTGTGCAGCAGACATTAGGTTTTTCGCTAACTGGCTCTGCAGGCACGCCTACCATTTCTTCAATTCCATTAGCTTCTGATTGATCCACTGTGACCTGTCTTGCTTTCAAATCATAGCCCGACTTCACTATGTCCTCCAGCATTGATTCATTGGGGAGCTTCATCCTGCAAAATTCAAGCTCTGCTTCTAGATCTTGAATCTCTTTGTCCTTCTCTGCAAGGAGGTCATTTGTTTTTTGCAATGCTTCCATATCATACTCAGCTTGTTCTTCCATCATTCTCAGGCTCTGCAAGGCTTCCATGTGGAGTGTTGCCTTCTCCTGCTGCAGTCGAGTAATCATGGCCATTGCTTGATTTGCAGCAATTGTAGAGGCATTTCTTTCTTCTTCCAATTCCTTATACAAAGCATTCAATAATTTCCTGTCATGCTCAACCTGCCGTTTCAGCCGATCAACCACACTTTCACCTTCGATTTCACTAACAATGCTTCCATCTATAGACAAACCAGACTCATTTCTCTCTAGGGAGATCCTCTTTTGAAGCATTTGCATTCCATTAAGTGTAGAAGAGTCTGAAGCCTTTAATTCATCACTATTTATAGATATCCTAGGACTTACTGAGATCCTAGGACTTACATCATTTATTGATTGCTCAATCCCTCGAGCCGCAGATAACTGTGACAATAAAACTTTCAGATCCTCACTAAGTCTAGAAGAATCTTTTCCAATCCATTGTTCAAATTTGCCAGACAATTGTCTCCCTCTACTTCCTACTGCTAGCTTATAAGCATCGCTTAGATCCAATGAATTGGGTACTTGGATGCTAGTGTCGCTTGCAACATGGTTTGTTTCTACTGGTGATTCAGGTACTGGAAATGGCTGTTCTCTTGACTTGCAGATTTCCTCACACTCTGTCACAGATTTCTTCTTGACTTCAAGAGTTCTCATAACACCTAGTGACAAAAATATAAGATGAATAAAATATGCCACAGAGATTAACCATATCATGTAAGTTATATGGGGTGTTGAAGCAGCTGGTAGAAATGAAACAATGAAACACAAGTAGGATGGGTATTTCTACAAATTAAAGAGGCCAATTTAATGGATATTTGAGAATTTATAATTCCAAAACTTCTCAGGGACTTCCCTTTTGTTTTAACTAAAATCTCTTAAAAGCATGTTCACAATTTGGAAATTATGTCCTTAATTTTGGAAATGCACCTGACACATCTTGGACCTTAGAGCATTTATTGATTGCACCTCAAAATATTACGTCATATATGAGTTTTTCTCATACCAAAAATCAAGGAGAATGTGTTGGAGGAGGCCTAATAGACTCATAGTATCTACAAGCTATGAGATTATGGTGATACAATCACTTTTCAAATTGTTAAAATAAAAATATTGGACAGTTTCTGGTTTTCCCTTCATATGTAAAACTGAACCAGAAAGAAAGACCAGGCAAAATGTGAGGAAGTTCAACTTACTGCTCTCTTTTGATTCTTCAACAGAAGGTGCAACAACATTTGATGGAGAAACATCAACTTCCTCATTGCTCTCTTTTGATCCTTCAACAGAAGGTGCGACAACATTTGATGGAGAAACATCATCAATGGAAATAGGCTTGCTCTCCTTTGACACTTCAACAGGGGTTTCATTGCCAAGTGATAATGAAGACACATGATCGAGGGAAATAAGCTTACTGTCTTCTAACCCTTGAATAGGAATTTCACTGGCATCGGATGATGGAGGAACCTTATCAAGGGAATTAAGATTCATTTTTGTTGACACATCAATATAAGCTTCCCCACCATTTGGTGATAAAGGGACATCATCAAGAGAAATAAGCTCAGCAAATGCAGAGGGTTTAGTTTTGCTACTGGCTTGCTTCCAATTAAGTTCCTCCAAGTCACGGCCACTTAAATCAGTAGATTCCACAGATTTAGTGCCATGAGGCTCGATGATATCTTGTTGTGACTGTGAGATGAAAATTGAAGGCTTCGTTTCAGAAACAGAATCTATCAATTTTTCGGAAGCAAAATCTTCTGACACAGTAATAGTACGGGACTCTGGCTGCACATGTTGGTCAGCAATATCACTTTTTACATGATCAGTTTCACGAATTAAAGCATCTTCCTCATCACCAGCATCACTAGACAATTCAGATTCAGAATCAGAAGTAATCTTAAGCTCCGAATATGCTACATGAGATAAAGGATCAGCCCTACTTTTTCTCTGATGTGTAGCTCTAACTGAAATCAGTGCATTGTCACTTCTGTTCTTCTGCTCATCCTGCTCACGTTCTACAGTAACTGGCAAATGTAAATCAAATTCAGCAGCCTGAGACACAGTCGATTGTGTCTGCATCAATGTTTTGACATACCCTTTGGGCATCCATGGCTCATTGCAACAAGAACAGTGCCTCATAGTTGAATGTGCATGTTTATGATCCTCAAGTGATGGATCCTCCACAAGACCACAGTCAGAAACTTCCCCCAATTTACCCACCAATAATCTATATGTTTCAGCATTAGACTTATTTATTGTAGCAAATGAGAAAAGGCAACTTTCACACATTCCATGAACATCAACAAGCTTGTTGTGAGCATGACAGTAAACTAAGGTTGATATCTCCAACTTATGATCACCACATACCAAATCCCAATAAAATTTTCGTTTTTCTTTGCCTAAAACATGATCAAGTCTTGAGCATAGCAAGCATGGTGTTTGCAATTTGCATTTATGAGCAAATTTTGTGATCAAGTATGAGACAATAGCATCAATAAAAAGCATAAAAATCAGCAGCCATTCAAGAAAGGCTGATGATAAAGCTCTAGTAAACCGATGGGCAATTTTCTGTGAGTTGACAGATGAAATCCCCCCACTAGCCATTCCCCAGAAGATTACGTAACCTCAGAACAAGATGCTGATTGCTTGAAATAAAGCAAATTCCAATCCTCCCACAATGTAACAGTAATCCAAGGCAAGTTTCAATACTGCAACCATCAGTAAAAAATGATCCTCAGAGCTAAGTAAAAGAAGAAGAGTTTAGAGCAAAAAAAGAAGTTCTAAAACCCTGTCTTCCTAACAGAAAGAAGAAAAAGAAACACCTGCCCAAGCAACCAAAATTTAGCAGCAATGAAGAAAACTAATAAATGCAGCCATTACTTATAAAAGAGCAATTTCCATGAACACTAAATTAGTCCAAAGCAACTAATTGCTGAAAAGTTCAAAATAACTTTTTCCAGGGTAACAACCAACAGAGGCACAAGTTTTCGTAATTAAAGAATACCTATAGAATCCAAACATAGACACAACATCAACTGCTAACAAGCAAAACTTTCAGCTTAAGTAAACTAAGATAATTGCAACTCAGATGCTAAAGGATACGCCAGTGAAATGTATATCTGATAGATAAAGTCTGATATAAAATTCTTCACCAGCAACAACATGCATGACTATCTCGATGTATTTCTTAACAATTCGAGATACCATTTCTTATAGAAGATCTATGAATGCAAGAGAAAGTGGATAACAGAACAATTAAATAAGTTAAAATAATGAACTCCAATAAATGATCAATGGCCATAATTGTTAAACATATATCTCAGTTAACAAAGTAATGAACCAAATCCTTGTATTAAAACACACTCAAGCACAAGAAAAGTATTTCTGAAAGAGGATTAACACACTAAATAAAAGATCCCAACAGACATACATCCTGCATCTAAAGCTATAAAATAAGACAATCATTTCTTATTGAAGGAAAATCCAATATCTAAAAAGCTATAAAATGCATCCAAATCAAAAACTAATGAGAAAAATTCCAGAAAAAAATAAAAATTCAGCTGTCCTACTAGATCAATACAAACCAAATACATAGCGAAAGAAAGATATAAAGCATCTTTGAAAAAGAAAAAGGAAAATCATTTTGGACTTATGCAATATTTCAACTAATAAAAACGTGAAAAAAAAAAAACAGAGCCTGAACAAGAAACTAGCAAAAAAATTTTATAGCATAAGACAACGAACTCGATTTTTCTAAAGGATCAACATGGGCCATAGATAGAGAACTTCACAAAACCAAATTATCAGCGACAACAGAACAAAAAAAAAAATTCCATCAGCATCAAGCCTAAATCAGAATCTAACACAAAATTATAAACTTTCAGCCAATACTCAGACACATGGCCCGATCAAAATCCATCAAAAACTCAAACTTTCTACAAAACCCCCTGAATAAAACTTAATCATATTAGCATCATTCAAAAACTAAATTGAATTATATATACAAGTCAAACTATGATATTTCCAAGGGAAAAAAAAAGAAACTTTGATAAGTTGCAAGAAGAGAAACCTGACCTGTTCGTATGAGAAACTAGAGAGGAAGACAACCAGAAAAAAGCCACTGAGAATTCAGAGGAAAAAGCGTCCAATCAAAGTGACCCATCTTCAAATTCATGTCGAAAAACAAAACCGATGTAACAGTTATTGAAGAACGAGAGATCGAAACAAAAGAAAACAAAAAATATAGTAGTTTTATATAAGAATAAACAAAGATAACAACAAAGAGTGCAACGTTGTTTTCACGTATTTTTTGCATTATTTTATAAAAGGAAAATTTTTACTTTTATAAAAAAAAAAGGGGGAAATAAAAAGATGATAGAACAGCCGACAAATACCAAAAAGTCGGCTGCCGATTAGAAAATGCTAAAAACCGAAAGTAAAAGAAAGACAAATATAAAAGCAAAGGTTCCAGAGAAAATTCACTGTCAAAAACCCAAAAAAGTTTCATTTTTGTTAGTAAAAATCCCTCATTTTTTAAACTTTATTTCTTTTCTTTCTTAAGAAATAAATAGTAATGGACGATCAATGGAAAATGGGTTATATTTATTTTTTGGAAAAAAGGTGCCATTTTTTTTATTATCTTAATGATTGGAATGACTTGTCGGTGAAGAAATTATGTAACCGACCAATGGTGGAAAGTTTCCCGGGAGACCCAACCAATGAGGATAATTGTAAGTTACAGAGGCGTGTGACTGTCGGGAAATTCAGAGGTTAGCTCTGATTTGACCGTTAAACTAACTGAAATATGAAAAAAGTTGGGTTGTTTTTTACCAGAATCGACCGCTGTGTTTCTTGGTTATGTCATGGAGGT